GATATACCCTCTGCAATGCTCTGTAGGTGTGGGGTTCCTATAAGAATACATTCAGGGCTCCTTTTTTTTCAGTACATTGTAAAATTTAATGTATTGGATGTGTTATTAGATGTGGACGTGAGAGTGCTATATCTTGATGTAACTATTAAACAAAATTTGAATTGACAGTACATGAGTGAAAGCAAATTTCAGAATACCTCCCTTCCCCAGATAGGTTCTCAACGTAAAGTGTTTACATTCACACACCTGATCATCTAACAAGGCTAAGGGGGGTGGGATGGGGATGGAATCTTAGCTCAGGTTCTTCTGTACTTACTTAATTTAGTATGTAGTTTTCCCCTACTGGACAAGTACTTACCAGAAATTGGCTCGCTCACTCTTGGGTCAGCTGAGAAGAAAGCACACACAAAGGTAAAGTTCTGATACTGCAATTGTATGACGACTATGGGCACTTATAGTTAAGTCTTACTTGCAAAACAGTACACTCTTGCTAAAGACTAAATCTGAAAGTTATTTTTGTGATAATCTGTGAGCAGCTGCATCTTTTACATATGATTTGAGTAGTTTTGAATATAGGTTGTTATTCTTTCAATTTCAAAAACGTTCTCATTAAGCTTTCTACAAAAACTGTGGTAAAATTACCAGGGTATCATGAACTATAGTTAGTTTTAAAAATATGCAGGTATACTGTACATGCAGATAGATGCATTTTGTTGGGGAATTGAAGCTTGGAATATTCGCTTCACAGAACTCACGAGTCCCCTTTACTGATGGACTCGTTGGGTATTTTCATTGTAGGCATGCAAGGAAGCAAGAGCTCATTTGCTACATCTTTTAGTATAGATTACATTTTTCTTTTATTTTTTTTTTTTCCCTGACACCAACATAAATGAGGAAAATTCAATGGTGTTACCATAAGGGCACCTTCATCAATTACATTTTTTTTTCTTCATGAATTTTTAGGAATTCAAGACACACTGGGTTTCCAACAAGCCTGCTTTGTAAAGCATTGATGTCCTTGGGAATTACCGCTAATGTGATTACCTGATTCTGTATTGAATGCCACTGTTTTGCTGGGTGGGCCTTCACCAAGTGGGTTTTTAGGTTTGACCTCGAATTCATAGCTGTGTAAGGAGGAATAAAAATAGTTGTAATGAATTCTTGAGAGGTAAGAAGCAATATTTTTATATTGACAACTGGTTCTATTTGAAATCATGACAATTTCAGATTTTACTTTTTAAACATCTAATGTTTCATATGAAAAAGATACTAAAACAACAAAAAAAGATAGCTGTCTTAAAAACAAACATTCCTAGAAATAACTGGGTAGGTTGGTCTTGGACATACAGGAAGAGAGATATGCGGTGGACTTCAGCAAATTCCAGCACCAGAGAGTCTCCCCTTCAGATGTTACAGGGAAAATTTCTTTCCTGTTTCCTGTTCTCCCAACCCTGAGTATATACCTTGACATTAGACCTCATTGTGGTTATCTTAACCACAGGATATGGTGGCCATGGGGAACCGTTTCTTTAAAATGCAGATTACTGTCCCATCTCTGCTGTTGAAAATAAAGAGATTCAGGTTGGAATTTGTAATATGTTTCTGAGGTGAGTTATGTGCCCACTGGTATTGGAGAGCTGTTGGGCTAAGTTGTAGAAATGGGTGAACACACATAAGAAAGTTTTTTGCAAGACTGATTGTATCTCCTGGAGCTCAGGTCTGATGTAGATCACAAGAAGCCAAGCTGCGGTGCTCAGAAAATGGGCCTGCTAATATCCTAAAGCATGAACACATAGCTGAGACTTCCCTGAAAGCCAAGTTCACACTGGCCAGGCTTTTAAACCCTACTGCAGTTACACCCTTAAGAATGCTTATTAAATTGTTCAGTATTTGACAAATCTTATATATAAACAGCAAATCCTTTTGAGAAACTAAATAGGAAAACAGTATGTTTTTTTCTGAAACTAACTTTAAAACCAACCTGAACCAGCTGGTGACATTTTGTGAATCTCAGATCTGATTTGAGGAAATAAAGGACATCTTTGAGAAGTTTGCAACAAATAAGAATGTATAAGCAGGAAGATACACAAGGATTACTATTGCATTGCATTAAGTCACTCCTGGAGTCTAGTGTTAAAATGATAGGAACCACTTTGTTTTGTGCATCATAGATAATCATTTTGCACATACAAAATAATACAACACAAGCTCCATGGCATATTGCTATAATTTTCAGCTCAGGACAATGATGCTGTACTATTGTCTTTTCCAAACTCGAAAACTTTGTGAAATAGGAATGAAAACCTACCTTTTAATTTTTTTACTGAAAATGAAAGCATTTTGGAAAATTAAACAATTGCTATAATGTGGTGTACCATTTACCCTAAGAAAATACTGGGCTGGGAGGTGGCTCATTAGGTAAAGAGCTTGTCATGCAAGTGTGAGGCTGAGTTCAAATCCTGAGGACCCATGTCAAGCCAGGCCCATAATCCCAGTGCTCCTACATCAAGATGAGAGGCAGAGATGGAAGACAAGACTCTCCAGAAGCTCACGGCCAGCTAGTCTGGCTGTGCAGCAGGGAACAACAAGAGACCTTACTCCAGTGTAAAGTATGGTCCTACACCTAAGGTTCCCTCTGACCTCCACATTTACACTGTGGCACAAATACACATAAACAGAAAAAAATGCTAAAATAAAACATGGGTGCTCTAAAAAGCCAATACATGGGGTGTTGCACTTAGAACATTTTCCAAAGATTAAATTCTTCCTAAGATTTAATGGCCTGAAAATAAAGCCCACAATAAAACCAGTGAACTGAAAATGGAAGGGGACAGGGAGGGGAGTTAGAGGAAGGCAGAGAGAGAATTCACAAACATCTGCAGTTTGATGTGCGAATGCATACTATATCCATTCCAGGCCATTGGCAAGTGCCCCACACCTTGGCCAGATTTGATCACTAGACTCATCTCCACGTCTTTTTATTTTAGTTATTTACACTTAAACACCGTTTGTAGTATGGCCATAAATTTTCATAAGCTACTTTTTCAGAGAGGTTTCCTCACAACATTTTATGGCACTTAACTAGTTTGGAAGAAATTAACTAGATGAGGACTTTTTTGTTAAACTAAGGTCTATATAAAAAACTAAGCTCTATATAAAACTATTTGTGGTGGCAAAATCTAAGTAAGAACTCTGAGAAAATTAGGATTGTACGTAAGTATAGGATATTGTTTTAAAGTTTTAGTAGTTGAAGTTTAAAAAAATGTAATATATAAACTAAAGTGAAATCTTAGAATATAAAGTAGACATTCTACAAATACTGGGACTAAAAGTCAAAGATATGAAATAAAATTAGATTGTGGTTGAGAATATAATACCAGCTAGCAGAAACTAGAAAACGGGGAGGTGGGGGGTAATCTCAAAAATGGTGTAAGGAAGTTTGCAGAAGTTAAAGATGTAAGCTTTCAGATTGGAAAGCCGTGTGCCCCATAAGATGAGAAAAGGAATGAAAAGGTACTAAAGCACACAAACCAGGTAAATAAGGAAGAAACCCTGCTGATTCTACATAGGAAGGTGTGTGTCCTAACAGAAGCAATCTTCACAAACCCCACCAGGTGGTAACATGTTCCAGTAGTTAAAGACAAGGTTAAGAATATGTCTTTATAGGGCTAGAGAGGTGGTTCAGCAGTTAAGAGCACTGGCTGTTCTTCCTGAGGACCTAGGTTTGGTTCCCAGCATTCACATGGTGGCTAACAACTGTCCATAACTCCAGGGGATCCAACACCCTCTTTGGGCCTTCACAGGCAGTGCACAACATGCTGTACTTAAGTACAGGTGGTAAAACACTCAAACACATAAGATTAAAAATAAATAAGAAAATTTTCATAAAGCTGGAGACATGGCTCAACAGCTAAGAGGAGGCCAGAGGAACCAGGTTCAGTTCCCAGCATCCACATGAGAGCTAACAAAGGTTCATAACTCCACTTCCAGAGTTTCTAATTCTTCTGGCCTCCGAGGGCATTGCATGCACACGGCACACTTACATACTTGGCGGCAGAACACACACACAAAATTTAAATTTTTAAAAAAATTATTCCAACCTGGAATAATTATTCCTGCTTTTCCTGCCTGAGACCTCTGGACTAGCCTCCTAACCCAGACCCCATCCACTGCATGATCCCCCTGCACACAAACTAGCTACATTCTCTTGCTTAAGGCCCATACCTACTCTGCCTAGCTAAGTCCCCCACCTTGGCCCTAGGCCCCTCTCCTGATCATCCTGCCTGAGGCCTGCAGACTACCCTGGTAAGTCAGACCCCAATGTGGGGTCTAAATTTGATTAAGATCTATTATATGACATGCACAAATTTTTTTTTAAAAAAGCAAAAGCAATTTTATATACATATATATATATATATATATCAAAGAAGTGAGAACCCCAGATGAAAGCCATGCTTGTTGAAACACACACACACACACACACACACACACACACACACACACACACCATGCCTGAAAGAAAGGCTGAAAGGGATGCTGAAGGAGATAAGGCCAGGGTGAAGGACAGTTTACAGAGAAGATATGCAAGGTTGTCTGCCAAACCTTCCCCTCTGAAGCCAGAGTCCAAGCCTAAGAAGGCCCCTGCAAAGAAGGGAGAGAAGGTGCCCAGAGGGAAGAAGTGAAAAGCTGATCTGGCAAGGATGGGAATAATCCTGCAGAAAACAGATGCTAAAAACAGACCAGGCACAGAAAGCTAAAAGTGTTGGAAGATGCCAAGGGAAGTCTGTGTGTTTGATAACTGTGCACCTCTGGTGACTCCACAGTTTGAAATGCTACTTTTTATCGTTTTATGAGAAATACAGAATTTTGTTTTTTAAAAAAGCTATGTCGTTATCACACAGACACTTCATTTTTTTTTTGGGGGGGGGGACATGTGTAACTAACAAAATGTCTCCTAAGTAGGATTGATGTAGGGTAAATGGTTTTCCCTCTGGTTTTTGAAAGACTCCTCTTGGCTCCCAGGAGGGGATTTCCTGATGTTGATACACACATGGCCACCTTGGCACATAATGCCTTGTGGTGTGGGCAAATTCAAAATTAACCTTTATATCCTCCTCTCCCTCCACCTTTAAATCAACATAGACTTAACTCCCTTTAAGCCAGAGACCTGTTGGGACCTGACCCCTACATTGGTTTTGCCAGTATGTTGGGCAATCTGGACTTTGCAGTGACATCATTGGAACAGTTCCTCAGAAGAGCAGTGGTTCCTTTTCTAAAATATTATAGATCTTCAGATTGATAATTCTGCCATGTTCATTTCATTTCCTGAAAGGGTTGGCTTGTGAAGTTGTTAAACAACATGCGTAATGTGAAATGTCAGCCCTCTAAACTTTCCCCATTCAGAGCATCAAATGAAGACTTCATTGGATTTTATAGTGACTTTCTGATTTTGGTAGTCCATATAAGAAAGGAGTTTGGATGTTCTTGTATACTGTTAATGATTGTCTGACAATGTTCTGCCTGAAATACCATGATTTTTTATGAAAAGTGTCTTTAATAAAGGTGAATACATTTTGAGAAAAAAGCAAAAAATGAAAAAGAGGGTAAAATTTGAGTTCAGTAATTTTGAGAGCAGCTATGAAAATCAGCACAAGAGTTGAAAATACATCAACTTACTGGACATGAGAGGTTTTAGAAAGTATGGTCTGTAGTTCCTCTGTAATCTCTCAAAAGAAAGATACCCAGCTATAAGATCTATCCTCTTCAACAGTGGACTCTGGAGTAAAGCTCAAGGTCTAGTGGGAATAAATGTCCTCTTGTCTCCCTACCCCTTCTTTTCTTCTCTATTACCTTTTCTATTTTGCTAAAAATATAGAGCTGAATTTTGGCTTTCATTGTTTAGTATACCTTTTAGTTACATACTCCCTCCTGGTTTAAAAAGTTAGCTTAGCAAAATCCTCAAATTCAAGCAAATTGCTTGTTATAAAACTACTTTTCATACCCTTGATAGCTGCCTGTTCATTTGACTACAGATTTGTTGGGTAAATCTTCCTGCTGCAGCCTTGAAAAATTTGTGCCCCATTTATGTGGGACTTTCTGTTAGAGGAAGAGGAATGGAAAAGTG